GCATTCTTCCCATATGTAACTATATGTACATCGGGATGAGCTGAATCAAACAGAGGAAAGAAAGTCAAATTATTAGTAGGTGTGCCTTCAGTTCCTAAGCGAACCTGTCCATGATGTGGCAACACACTGATAAGTGGTACCTGCAGCATTGGAGACCCTGCAGCAAAAACTATGGTTGCCGGCAAGCTCGGCAGCATCCTTGATGAGTAGAGTGTTTCTGTATCTGGAATACGACTGACGCTCTGTCACCATTTGCATCATTTCATATCCCTCTCCATCCACCTCAATAGTTGACCCGTCTCTTGTCCACGTCACATTAGTAGGTGGGGAGTTCTGGGTCAAACAATCGACTGTTCCTAGTACACCATCGTTACTAGCCCGGTGACGCTCACTGTAACTAATGCTGTACACAGATGGTGGACCTGTATCATGCGCAGCAAGCAAAAGGTTACTGTAAGAATGAAAAGCACTGAAGTGCAAACCCTCGGCGCACTGTGACGCGCACGCGTAAGTAAACGCATGCGCCATACCACTAATTGATGGGCTGGGTTTAGTTTTAGCTGTTACTCGTGGTCTCTTGCCAGCTCGCGCAGTCTGACGCGGGCTAACTACACTACTAGATAGCATGCGAGAGGCGATACACGCCCTGCGTTGCATCTTCTGGTGCTTCCGAAGTACGCAGAGCACGACCGCGGTAAGCCATCCCGTATTTGCATATTAGCTTTTTCGCGCTCTAGCTCTGCAACGGAGCATTTTCAGAGAAACCCCCACGTATTTTCTGACATTCGTCGCCCGTTGGGTAGATGGTATCGTTTCTGGGACGAACAGACATTCGAGAGGTGAGATGTAGAGTAACAGACAGACACACGGACATACCCAACTACTGTAACCCTCGCTGCGCATGCGCGCCGAGGGTTAATGAACAATGAGGAACTCACTGGGCATTGAAGCATATATCCCGATGCTGGTTTCAACAGTAATGCCTCTACTGTCTGGCACTTCACAGGTAAATATACCGTATATTTGTGGGTAGTAGCTGCTTGAATAGCGTGCAATACTAACACCAGTGTTACTGAGTTGTCCAATTCTGTAGTAGTTGTAATTTGAGGTAGAGTATTGCCTCACTCCATCTCGGAAATTTGAAGTATCCAGTTCCCCCCGAAGTGGAGTTTGAGTAGCAGTAAACATTGATGTAAGTTGAAGACGAGGTCCCCCTCAAAATGAGGCTGTTGTTTGCAACTGCTCTGTCCCTAATGTAATAGCTTCGCTGTACATACATTCCACTTCCTATAGAATAGTAAGTTCACTTGTTTAGTGATCAAACAAAAATGCTCTCACCCATCATCCTCATTTCCGTTGTATTGCTTCCGGTATTTCCACTGCCATCGGTTGCTGTGCACGTGTGTACTCCCGCATCAATCGACTGCAATGTGGTCTTGGTGATTGATTGAGATGAGCTGCTTCTTGCAAAACAGCTGCTACAGGTCGATGACCACTGATAACTGACTCATCCAGTGGGATGGTGAGCACGACAGGTGAGAGTTAGTGATGTGGCAGGTCGATAGTATGGTGGACTGGGCAGATTGAAATCAGATGGAGGGTTGTAGGTCACATCAATGGTTACTTTCAGGGCTGAAAAATAGAAGCAACATTCCCCATTATTGATACGGGTTTCTACAAACATTTATAATTCAACATACCAACTGAAATGCTGATTGTCTCTGCGGTGCGACTGCTTGATATCAGGTGGTTGTTTCGTTCCTGAGGGCCAACAGTGGCTGAACAAGTATAGGAGCCACTGTCCGTGGATTTCAGTGTGTTAAATGTCACAGATGTATTGTACTTAAGGTGTAATCCCTCCAGTTCAGACACTATGACCCTCCTCTCACTATCAGTGAGTGACGAGTGACCCCTCCATTGAGAGTTAATTGCCACGTAGGAATCCACTTCTGGAATGAGTTCTATTACACATGTCAGCACCAGAGAGTCAGTGGTAAACAGCTGCACAGAGTGTTCTGGAGCTCTCTGTATCGTCACTGTCGGCTCAGGTAGCTACTGCATTGTATGTTTATAGCTAACAGTGCTTTTTATAAATTTTCTTGTCCAGACTTACTTTGAACTTGGACTACAAAAGAAGCTTCACTTTTTGAAGGAGGGACCGCAATGTCCGATATGCACTTGTACACACCGCTCTCTGAGGTTCTAATGGAGTGAATTGTCAGTACGAGTGTACTCATTCCTCCATTCCAGCCACTGTAGGAGACGGTAGTGTCCGGATCATCTCTCCTCTCCACTCCGTTTGGATCGACCCAACTCAAGTTGGCTTCTCTTTCAGACGACACATTGCACACAAGGATGAAAGACTCTCCAGCAATGGCTAGGCTTGATATAGCTGCAATGCTCACTATGTTCTCGAGCGCTGAAACAAGAAACTGTATATAAACATGCCGAATCACGAAAAGCAGTTGTTCACGCTACGTACCTTTAACACTTAGAATAATGCTTTCTTCGGCCCTCTGCCCGTCCGACAGAGTTGCTCGGCAGGTGTACGCGGTCCCATCCAGTCCCATATTGCCAGGATTGAGGGTGAGCACAATGGAATTGTCGCCCATCACTGTCTCAATTGCGTCGCTTGTTCCGAGCCCGACAAGAAACCACTCCATCTTCGTAACATTAGCATCTCCGTTCCACGAGCAAACAATGTCCCGGGATACTCCGATGATCAGCGGCTCCTCGTGGCCTGTGATGTCCAGTTGGCCTGCACAGACTAAAAAAAGGTAGTTATACTTCGAGGAGTACTACAAGCGACTCACATCGTTGTAATCCTCTAGTTGCTGGCGCAGGTAGCTAGCGCATGAAAGGGAATCAAACCCTGAGTTCACCTCCACCCCAGATGCGCAAGTGCGTGATGTTTTCGCAAAAAAATTATTATTATTATTATTATTATTGAGACTTTACAGCACACAAAGAGACGAGATGTGAAAGGTAAGATGATAGCAATAGGATGGTAGTGCTGAGGGTCTGCTGGAGGTATACACCAGCAGCCTATGACACATAACTGAACAAAAACAAACATACTTAAGAGATTAGTTCATAGGAGAGAGGTGTAAAAGTTGGGGGAGATCGGGATAGAGCTACACTTAGCACATGGACACAGGTAGTGGAACGAGCATGGATTGTCTGGATTGAAGTTTGTAATGAAACGATTCAAAAAGAGTTCGTAGAGTTTGGACCTGATAGTAGATACGAAGTGATCTAAATTAAGAAGGGGGAGTGAGTTCCAGAGGCGGGGAAGACGGTTAAAGTAAAAGTGACGAATGGAGTTATTAGAAATAGGAGTAGTTTGTCTCAACTTGAAGTGCAAGGCTGAACGAGTTTGGCCAGAGCAGAATGTGACGAAACTAAGAATGTTAAAATGGGCTGATGGCTCTTTCAAGCCCTTTACGAAGAACAGAATATCACCAATTTCAAGGACCATCATTAGTGGCAGGAGATGAAGGTCGAGCAAACGGAGACGATAGTTAGAAACATAGTTGTTAAGAATGAATTTAGTGGCTCGTCTTTGGACATTCTCAAGAGCTTTAATATCTCTCAGCGCGAAACACAACGCAATGTGGCAGTGCGGCGGATCAG